TCTTACTAAAGACTAACATTTCACGTTCTTACAGTTCCATTCTCAAAACAACTCTTACTAAGGACTACTTACGTTTCACGTTCTTACAGTTCCATTCTCAAAACAACTCTTACTAAGGACTACTTACGTTTCACATTCTTACAGTTCCATTCTCAAAACAACTCTTACTAAGGACTACTTAATGGAACTGTAAGAATGTGAAACGTCTCAAAACAACTCTTACTAAGGACTACTTACATTTCACGTTCTTGCAGTTCTATTTTCAAAACAACTCTTACTAAGGACAACTTACGTTTCACATTCTTACAGTTCCATTCTCAAAACAACTCTTACTAAGGACTACTTACATTTCACGTTCTTGCAGTTCTATTTTCAAAACAACTCTTACTAAGGACAACTTACGTTTCACATTCTTGCAGTTCCATTCTCAAAACAACTCTTACTAAGGACAACTTACGTTTCACATTCTTGCAGTTCCATTCTCAGCCAGCGATAGTTTATTTAAATCATTATTCTTCTGAGCAATGCTTTGGGTGGTTCAGTTTGTAACTTTAAGTGTTTAGGTTTTCCAGTGGACAAAGGGATATTAGAATCAGGAAAAGTATGGAAAACGTTCACGTGTTCTGGTGACTAAGGCTTGTATCTACCACACTTTACGTGTTCTGGTGACTAAGGCTTGTATCTACCACACTTTACGTGTTCTGGTGACTAAGGCCTGTATCTAACACACTTTACGTGTTCTGGTGACTAAGGCCTGTATCTACACACTTTACGTGTTCTGGTGACTAAGGCCTGTATCTACTACACTTTACGTGTTCTGGTGACTAAGGCCTGTATCTACTACTGAAAACCTGAAGTGTGATCGACACAAACGTCAGCCACAGAACACGTAAAGTGTGTTAGATACAGGCCTTAGTCACCAGAACACGTAAAGTGTGGCAGATACAGGCCTTAGTCACCAGAACACGTAAAGTGTGTTAGATACAGGCCTTAGTCACCAGAACACATAAAGTGTGTTAGATACAGGCCTTAGTCACCAGAACACGTAAAGTGTACTGGTAGATACAGACGTCAATCACAGAACACATGAAGCTTGGTAGATACAGACGTCAGCCACTGAACACGTGAACAGTGGTAGATACAGACGTCAACAACAGAGCATATGAAGCGTGGTAGATACAGATGTCAATCACAGAACACATGAAGCTTGGTAGATACAGACGTCAGCCACTGAGCACGTGAAGTGTTGTAGATACAGACGTCAGCAGCCACTGAACACGTGAAGTGTGGGTCACACAGACGTCAGCCACTGAACACGTGAAGTGTGGGACACACAGACGTCAGTCACAGAACACATGAAGAGTGGTAGGTACAGACGTCAGCCACAGAACACTTGAAGTGTGGGTCACACAGACGTCAGTCACAGAACACATGAAGCGTGGTAGATAAAGACGTCAATCACAGAATACATGAAGCTTGGTAGATACAGACGTCAGCACTGAACACGTGAAGTGGTAGATACAGACGTCAATAACAGAATATATGAAGCGTGGTAGATACAGACGTCAAACACAGAACACATGAAGCTTGGTAGATACAGACGTCAGTCACTGAACACGTGAAGTGTGGTAGATACAGACGTCAATCACAGAACACATGAAGCTAAAAGCCAGTCACAGAACACTTGAAGTGTGAGAGACACAAACGTCGGTCACAGAACACTTGAAGTGTAGGAGACACAGATGTCAGTCACAGAACACATGAAGCGTGGTAGATACAGACGTCAGCCACTGAACACGTGAAGTGTGGGACACACAAACGTCAGTCACAGAACACGTGAAGCGTGGTAGATACAGACGTCAGCCACTGAACACGTGAAGTGTGGGACACACAGACGTCAGTCACAGAACACATGAAGCGTGGTAGGTACAGATGTCAGCCACTGAACACGTGAAGTGTGGGACACATAGACGTGTGTCTCTCACACTTCAAGTGTTCTGTGACTGGCTTTTGTGTGCAAATATAAAATGCCTTTTCCAAATTTAATTGTAAATAGTGTCAGACACAATACAACATTTGTACCGTAATCCCGTTCTCTAGGTGAAAAATCTTCAGGCCCAACTAGAAGATGAACAAGAAGTCAGGCATAAACTTATCAAGCAGAATCATATTCTGGAAGCCCAACTTCAGGAACTGAGCGAACAACCACCACAGCATGATCCAGAAGTGGAGAGGAAACTGAGAAGAGATCTGAAAAGAGTTAAAGCTCTTCTCAGAGATGCTCAGACCAGCGTAGAAACTGAAAGCGGAGTAAACAATAGCAGGGTGCTGATAAGACAACTAAAAAACGAGGTAATCACCACTTTCTTATTAGATAACTACCCCCCACAAAAAACAAACCGTATGAGATGTGTGAAGTATGTAACTTAGAAAAGATGGTAAAGCGTAATATTAAAACTTACCCATGTTGAGTAAAGTCTGTGGAGTGGAAGGTTACCAAAAATGTTTTGTTTAATTTTGATGCATGTTAATTTATATTTAAAGAAACATGTAGATTAGAAAATGTTGTCAAACAATACCTGTAAATTACAGCTGAGAAGATAAATAAACACTTACTTAAACTGTAATAAAACATAGAGTTGAACATAACCAGCAACGTTTTAATATTATAAATAAACCACAGCTTGTCACTCTTATATTGAAATCTCACTTACTAATATGATAACATTTCTCAAGTGTAATTTTTAGTTATAAATCTTAAAAGTTTGTCTGTTTGTTGTTAAGCGCAAAGCTACACAGTGGACTATCTGTGCGCTTCTCACTGCCAGGATCGTATTTTTAGCGTTATAAGCAGCCCACAGACATACCGCTAGACCTCTGGGAGGGGTGGGACGAAATTTAGTAACCAATGAGTAAGTTAGACATGACATCAATAGCTTTAAGTGTAAGATTAAACTATAGATATTGACATTCACACACTAAGTAATGAAGTGTACGTTACACGTAAAGTTAAATTATAGTATGTTAGACACACATGGAAATACTACCATGAAGCTGCCAATTTAATTATTTTTAAAGAATAGAATCATAACGATCATCAATGTGTTAACTAAACCATGCTTGTTCATAACACGCAGTTAAACAATAGCTTTCAGTGTGATGAACGTACAGATAAACTCTGTCTATTAATACTATTAATAATTTCAGTTTTTGAGACATGTACTCCAGTACAGCCAACAACATTCTGTCGATGTATTACAGGTTGAACGACGTCTAAATGTACTGCTGAATTGGAATGTCTAAAAAGAGCTAGAGAACTGGAACGGACGCATAGGGGATAAAGTGATGACAATTTGTTAGTAGGGCAAATACAGTGCAGAAACGGACGCATAGGGGATAAAGTGATGATAATTTTTGTTAATAGAGGCAAATACAGTGCAGAAACGGACGCATAGGTGATAAAGTGATGATAATTTTTGTTAATAGAGGCAAATACATTGTAGGAACGGACGCATAGGTGATAAAGTGATGACAATTTTTGTTAATAGAGGCAAATACAGTGCAGAAACGGACGCATAGGGGATAAAGTGATGACAATTTTGTTAGTAGAGGCAAATACATTGTAGGAACGGACGCATAGGTGATAAAGTGATGACAATTTTTGTTAATAGAGGCAAATACAGTGCAGAAACGGACGCATAGGGGTTAAAGTGATGACAATTTTTGTTAATAGAGGCAAATACAGTGTATGACGGCGACAAGATGACTTATGTTAGCTTTGTGAATCTTTCTAGTAAAATGTTTTTACCCTTTATTTTTAATTAACTAACGTTTGTCTAAATGAATATTATTGTGCATTAACAATGTCCTTCAAATACCCTTCAGTCGTGTCCCGAATGGGACAGAAGTAAGTCTATAGAATTACAACATTAAAATCCGGGGTTCGATTCCCCGAGGTGGACACAGCACATAGATATCCCGATGTGGCTTTACTCTAAAATACAAACAAACAGGTCTTTAGTCGTTTAGAAAATAAGACTCGTTGTTTAAATATCTTAACTCAGAAGAACTACGTATTTCGTCAAGAAGTAGTTTCTTTTTCAGGTTGAAGATGCAGAACTTTACAAGATGGCAGCTATTAAAGCACAGCAGAATGCGGAGATAGAGTTGCAAGAGGTTCAAAACCAGATGGAAGAAATAGCACGTGGAAAGAAGGAAGTAAGTAGTGATTAAAAAATACTAAGGTCGTCTTAGTAAGTCTTGCATATTTACATTCATACAGCAAAGTTGGACATTTGTTTGAGTAGCTTGACTCTTTAAGGCCGACCTCTATTTACTCTAAACATTCTCTTCCCTGATTAGAAAAGGATCTAAACATTCTCTTCCCTGATTAGAAAAGGATCTAAACATTCTCTTCCCTGATTAGAAAAGGATCTAAACATTCTCTTCTCTGAT